GTTGTTTTTGGGAGAGACAGAATTGCAACTTAAGATATACTGGGCAAACACCTGAAGAACATGGCTAGGAAATGGATGAGTTTTTCATGATATGGCTTGATCTCTAAATCAGTAATCTTCTGGCCCTAAGTTTCCAAAAAATGAAGTGTATATAACATATGGATTCCTAAATTCATGTCATATATCCACTAAGATTATCTTTTAGACATTTCTTTGAAATTTTAAAAATAAAATATAACCATGAGGGGTTGTGGCTTATTAATGTTTATACAGCTTAACATCTAGTTATGTGGCCTTAAAGTAGTCTTCAATAAATGTTTGTTCAGGAAATATATTTATGAGAAATCCTATATAATAAAAGGCTAATATGCAAATTGTCCCATCCACCAGGAGTTCAACCAGGGGGCAGGGCCAGCTGGCCAACCGCCTACAGCCCCTCCCCCCAGCTGGCCCCGCCCCTATCAGGGAGGGCTGGCCGGTCCCCACCAGTGCATGAATTCATGCACCGAGCCTCTATTAAATTATAAAGAACTACTATTGATATGCATTCATTAATTGAATATGAGCCATTTACCTTGAATGGTTTAGAGTCCTTCATTTATTTGCCTGATGGTAATGAACTAAATTTGATCTTTCATGATTATTTGCAACTTAGAATTCTCAAAATCCTTACACTTTGAAGCATCGTATTTGATTTTTATAAATTTGATAACCCAATTGTGTTGTTTCAATGATTACTAATATGAAAGTTGTTTTGTTACTTGTGGCTTGAATGTTTTTAGTTGAACCACTGTTTAGTAGTACATGTGATTAATAATATCATTCATATTCAGATGCTGGGAATTTAAGCTCAGTTTTATGTCTTTGTGAGTTGAAGAAGTTTCTGTTATGCTGAGAATCTTTATGATCTTTTGTGGGGTTATACTGTTACTTACAATAGAATCAAGGCATTTTGGTCTCCTTCAAATTATACGGCAGTCAAGTTTAATCATTTAAGTCAGTAAGTGGTGATATAGGTAATGGAATGTTACCTATATCCTCCTAAGGTATACTTATATGATTTTAATTTGATGAACACAGCATGGTGACTACCATATAGCCTTTCATCAGCTTTAATAGACAGTCCATTCACCTCCGTATAAATGTAAGTGCTCTCTTTAACACAATATTGAAGCCATTAATTCTTCTCCTCCTCTTTCTTTTTTGCTTGGCCATTTAAGCTGAGTTGTTTTTTGAATGATTCTTGATCTATAGGTATCTTCTTATTTTCCATATATGTTGGAGCTTACCTTAGTGTACAGACTTCCTTGCTAATTAGACTTCAGCAATTTCCTTGAATTTTACTTTCAAATTCCTGCTTTCTTTTCAGGCTGTTACTCAGATCTTGTACTGAAACCTTCACATGGAGAAATTTTTATTTTATTTTTCCTTCTCTTTATGATTTGCATACTCCAGATTTTGATATAGCAAGCTTACAAACTGGCAACAGAGAGATGAGTTTTTGAAAGCACTGCCTACCTTCACAGGTGTTTTTTTTTTATAATTTATAAATCTTGGTTCAAAGTTTTCACTTGGATTTGGATAACTATTTACTTTCATAAATATTTTTTTTTATTATTGGGGGAGGGATTTAGTATTCCCAAAGGCTTTTATACTTCCCTTCTGCCAGCTGGATGCCAGATTTCTGGACCACATGTTCGCTTGAATAGCAGATTTTAAACCCAATGTGTCAAGCATTTTCTAACTTGTTTGCCAGACGTGCATGAGATGATATATTCAAAAAATTATAAGCAGTTTAGAACCCTCTGGCTTTCATGGATAGGCAGTAATGAACTTCCACATTGCAATTACAAGAAACTGGAAAGAAAATTGAGAAACTAGAGATTTTTTTTAAAAAAAATTCATTTTAGAGAGAGGAAAGGAGAGGAATAGAGAGAGAGAAACTCGATGTGAGAGAGAAACATCGGTCAGCGCCTCTTGCATGCCCCATACTGGGGATCGCCTTTGCCCTGACCGGGAATCAAACCAGGGACCTCTTGGTTCATGGGTCGATGCTCAACCACTGAGCAACACTGACCAGATGAGAAACTGGAGATTTTAAAATTAGTGTTCATGATTTTATTAATATGACATCTGAGAACTTTAAATATTAAAAAACTCAATATTTGGTGACAAATCTAGAGTTGAGATTTACAGCAGATTTTTTAAAACATGAGACTTCAATAGTGCTCTTTATTATTATATACTTCATATGGTATTGGAATGATTGAGTGAGATAATCAATATAAAAACACAACACAATGTCTGGCACAAAATAAGAGCACCATAAATGTTAACTGTTATTAACATCTAGGAATACCAATTGTTTAATAACCAAGATACCACTTTAGAGCACATCATAAATTGCGCTCAGTAAAGCTCATTTATCCTCATTGTGTTTTAGTGGTTATTCTGTTATCCCTAAACTCACTTTTGGAATTTTTACTCAGTAAAATCCCCAGTATCTCAATTGATTATAAATTTATATAGAGAACTTTTTAGTTTAAGTGTACTTGGTATACAATATTATATTATTTATATCCATCTCAGGTGTACAATATGGTGGTTTAACATTTTATCCCTTACAATGTGATCATGCCAATAATTCTAGTAATCATCTGTCACCATGCAAACTAACCACAATATTATTGACTGTATTCCTCTTCACCTTTTTTACTCATCCCCCTATTCCCTCCTCTGTGGTAAACATACCTTTGGTCTTTGTTTCTATGAGTCTGTTTTTGTTTTGTTTTGTTTGTTTGTTTAGATTTCATATATAAGTGAAGTCATATGGTATTTATATTTCTCCGTCCGACATAGTGCAATACTCTAAGTCTATTCATGTTGTCACAAATGGCAAGATTTCATTCTTTTTTAAATTTATGTGTAATATTCCATTATATATAAAGTATATCATATATAATGGACTATATATATCACGTCTTCTTTATCTATTCATCTATCAGTGGACATCTAGGTTGCTTCCATATCTTAGGTATTGTAAATAATGATTCAGTGAACATAGGGGTGCATATATCTTTCAAATTCGTGTTTTTGTTTTCTTTGGATAACTACCTAGAAATGGAATTGCTGGGTTCTGTGGTAGATCTATTTTTAGTTTTTTTAAGGAAGCTCCATACTGTTTTCCATAGTGACTGCACCAATTTGCATTCTCACCAACAGTGCACAAGAGTCCCCTTTTCTTCACATCCTCACCAACACATGTTATTTGTTGGCTTTTGATAATAGCCATTCAGACTGGTGTGAAGTGGTATATCATTGTGGTTTTGATTTGCATTTCCCTGATGACTGGTGATATTGAGCATCTTTTCATATGTCTGTTGGCCATCTGTATATCTTCTCTGGAGAAATGTTTTGTTTTTATGTCCTCTGCCCATTTTTTATGGGATTGTTTATTTTTGTTTGTTATTGAGTTGTATAAGTCCCTTGTATTTTTTATATCAACCCCTTATCAGATATACCATTTGCGAATATATTCTCCCATTTCATAGGTGATCTTTTTATTTGTTGATGGTTTTCTTCAGTGTACAAAAACTTTTTAGTTTGATGAAGACCATTTATTTAATTTTGCTTTCTTTGTTTTCCTTGAGAGAATATATCCAAATAGATATTACTACATTGATATTAAATAGTTATTAACTATGTTTTGTTCTAGGAATTTTATGGTCTTAGGCCTTTCGTTTAATAGAATATTTTGTATATGTATGTTTATTCCGACCGGAGGATAGTAGATGAAATGGTCTCACATAAGTAGAAACTAGAAATAAGAGGTCAAAACCTTTGTTAAGATTTGGTCAATGGGATAAATATGCTCGATTATATGCTTTGGTTAGCAATACGCGTTGGCCAGGAGGGTCAGATTGTTATAAGCCAGTGAGCTGAGTCTGATTCTAAAAGGTTTTCAGAAATTAGAGTGGATCGAGTAGAGTCCAAAGTTTGGATAACCTACATTAGAGAAGAAGTTGGGACAAAACCATGTATGCCCAAAAAAGGTGTTTTCTGAAACTGAAAGAGGGTGTCAAGGCAGTTGCAATGGAATTAATGGAAGACACAGACCAACAGGGATCAATAAATCCTTATAATTTCAGAGGCAAGGTACTGCCTTTCCCCAAGGATTCAAAGCTACCCAGAGTGCCCTTTTGGTTTTCAGTATTATGAAATGCCACCACAGCCAGGAAATAAGCTCCAATATATATGAGTTGACAATGAAAAAAAGAAAAGAAATGAATCAGGACAATTGGGTTAAACTTTTGGGACTCTGCCTACCCATTCTGAACACAGATTGCCAAGATATCAGATATGATGAAATTTGATCACGAGCTGTTCATATATACACTAACATGTCAGGCATTTTAGCCAAGTAGATTAACCTTTCTGGGCCTCCATTCAAGGTCAAAGCAATCAAAAGGACACTTGTTCAACCCTGGCTTTGATAACTCTGTTGTGAGCTCATTTAGAGTTATTTCGACTATTTTTATATTTGATGCGGACTTTATTTTCCACACTCTCCTTTTTAAAATCTGAAATCTGGATTTAAATTACACACCACACAAAGGTTTGCATATAAGTCATTTCCCTATTTTTTAAAACTTATTTTTATTGTTGCAAGTATTACAGATGTCCCCTTTGTGTGCTTTTTTTCCCCATTGACCCCCTCCACCCCATACCCACCCCTCTCAGGCCTTCATCACTGTATTGTCTATATCCATGAGTTATGCATATATGCATGTAAGTTCCCCAGTTAATCACTCCCCTCCCACATCACACCCCCGCCCTCCCTCTGAAATTCGTCAGTCTTTTCCATTCTTCTATGTCACTGGACCTATTTTATTCATCAGTTTATTTTGTTCATTAGATTCCACATATGAGTGATATCATGTAATACTTATCTTTCTTTTATTGGCTTATTTCGCTTAGCATAATACTCTCCAGGTCCATCCATGCTGTTGCAAAAGGTGAGAGTTCTTCCTTTTTTATAGCTGTGTAGTATTCCATTGTATAAATGTATTGCAGATTTTATACACTCATATGCTGTTGGGCACTTGGGCTGTTTCTAAATCTTAGCTATTGTAAATTGCGCTTCTATGAACATAGGAGTGCATATATGCTTTCTGATGGGTGTTTCTGGTTTCTTATGATATATTCCTAGAAGTGGGATCACTGGGTCAAATTAAAAAAATTTCATTTGCTTTTCACAAAAATCACATTTAATGTAGCAAGACACCACAGTTTTTGGATTGAAATTACAGGACCTGAGATTTAAATTATAATTCTCTACTGAAGCAGCCACAACATATGAAAGAAAATGTTCATGTTTTATTTAAAATAATCATCTTTACTAAAACCACTCAATGACATTTATTATTTTAAAATATTTTAAAGCCATTTTTAAGAGTAAGGAAATTTAGGACCTTTATTAAACCTGGAGGGCGGCCTGTGGTGTGGTCCTCTGCACTGGTGCCCTGGAGGCAGGCTCTCTAGACTGTGAACCGAAACTCTGCTACTTTATTTTCTAATTCTTTCTTGAGTTCAGTCACTTCCTTTTTGAATTCTAATTTATTTTGCTCTTTCATTTCTTTTTTTTAGGGTTTTACTTTTATTTATTTTTTCTTTATTGATTAAGGTATTACATATGTGTCTTTATTTCCCTATTGCCCCCCACTCCCCACTCATGCCCTCACCCCCCTGGTGTCTGTGTCCATTGGTTAGGCTTATATGCATGCATACAAGTTTCCCTTGGTTGATCTCTCCCCCTTACCCCCCACCCAACCCTACCTTCCCTTTGAGGTTTGATGATCTGATCAATGTTTCTCGGTCTGTGGATCTGTTTTTGTTCATCAGTTTATGTTGTTCATTATATTACACAAATGAGTGAGATAATGTGATATTTCTCTTTCTCTGACTGACTTATTTCACTTAGCATAATGCTGTCCAGTTCCATCCATGCTGTTGCAAATGGTAAGAATTCCTTCTTTTTTACCGCAGCATAGTATTCCATTGTGTAGATACACCACAGTTTTTTAATCCACTCATCTGCTGATGGGAACTTGAGCTGTTTCCAAATCTTAGCTATGATAAATTATGCTGCTATGAACATAGGTAGGTGTGCATATATCCTTTCTGATTGGTGTTTCTAGTTTCTTGGGATATATTCCTAGAAGTGGGATCACTGGGTCAAATGGGAGTTCCATTTTTAGTTTTTTGAGGAAATTCCATACTGATCTCCACAGTGGCTGCACCAGTCTGCATTCCCACCAGCAGTGCAAAAGGGTTCCTTTTTCTCCACATCCTCACCAGCACTTGTCATTTGTTGGTTTGTTGATAATAGCCATTCTGACAGGTGTGAGATGGTACCTCATTGTTGTTTTGATTTGCATCTCTCAGATCATTAGTGACTGGATTGTTTGTCTTCCTTTTGTTAAGTTGTATGAGTTCCTTATATATTTTGGAAATTAACCCCTTATGGAATGTATCACTGGCAAATATGTTCTTCCATGCAGTGGGCTTTCTGTTCATTTTGTTGATGGTTTCTTTTGTTGTGCAGAAGCTTTTTTCATTTTGTTGATGGTTTCCTTTATTATGAAGATGACATGATATTATACATAGAAAACCCTAAGGACTCTGCAAAAAACTACTAGATTTCATAAATGAATTTTGCAATGTAGCAGGATACAAAATTAACACCCAGAAATCAATGGCATTTTTATACACCAATAATGAATTCTCAGAAATAGAAACTAAAAAAACAATCCCATTTATCATTGCAACGAAAATTTAAGATACTTAGGAATAAACATAACCAAGGAAGTAAAAGATCTATACTCGGAAAACTATAGGAAGTTGAAAAAAGAGACAGAAGAAGATATAACAAGTGGAAGAATATACCCTGTTCATGGATTGGTAGAATCAACATCATTAAAATATCCATACTATCCAAAACAATTTGTAGATTCAATGCAATCCCTATTAAAATACCAATACCATATTTCACAGACCTAGAACAAATACTCCAAAATTTCATATGGAACCAAAAGACACCAAATAGCTGCAGCAATCATGAGAAAGAAGAACAAAGTTGGAGGGATCACAATATCAGGTATCAAGTTATACTACAAAGCCGTAATCAAAAAAACAGTGTGGTACTGGCACAAAAACAGGCATATAGGTCAATGGATCAGAACAGAGAACCCAGAAATCAACCCAAGCCATTATGCTCAATTAATATTTGACAAAGGAGGCAAGAGCATACAATTGAGTCAAGACAGTCTCTTCAATAGATGGTGTTGGTAAAACTGGACAGGTACATACAAAAAAAATAAAATAGATCACCAACATACACCATATACTAGAATAAACTCAAAATGGATAAAAGACTTAAATGTAAGTCGTAAAACAATAGAAATCTTAGAAGAAACCATAGGCAAGAAAATCTCAGATATCTCTTGTAGCAATATGTTTGCAGAGACATCTCTCAGAGCAAAGGAAACTAAGAAGAAAATAAACAAATTGGACTACATAAAAATATTTCCCTATTTTTTAAGTCAAACTAGGGTTGAAATTGATTGATTTCAAAAAGTTGTTTTTATTGAAGATGACTATTACTTTTCAGGGTTAAGGTTTTGCTTTCTATTCTCATGGTATAATTGAACCAATCTTCTTTCTAGGTCTCTACTGCTTTGAGGGTTTCGTAATCTTTCCTGTGATAGTTGCTGAGATTGACCTTGAGAGATAGAGTAGAACTATTATATTGGGGCCATGAAGATGACTTTATAATGACTTCACTTGTCCAAACTTTGATGAAATTATTTTTAAAGGCCAGCTTATTTTACATTTCCTCTAAATTTCTCTATAAAGAAAGGCCCATAATTTCCAATCCAGCATAACCCACTCTGAAAAATCAAGAGAAAAAATGGAATTTTAGAGTTCTTTAAGGAAGGATACTCTGAGGCCTTTATGAATATTGGGAGATGTAGAATTTAAGATTTTTATACTGTCTGTGCTCCCAATAATTTACTTTTAACTCTTTAATAAAGTAGCCATCTTTTCAATTAACTATAGGCTATTGGCATATATCTATAATAATAAAAGCATAATATGCTAATTAACCAGACAGTCGAATGACCTTCCGAACTACCTTCCTGACAAAGGTGGGGCTGCGAGGACCCAGCCCCTTGCACGAATTTTGTGCATTGGGCCTCTAATATATTTCAGTCACGTGTATGATATAAATGTGAAATAATGCCTTCCAGCAGCAGTAACTTCAGACACAAAAGGTAGAACTCTTGAGTACACTTAGCCAGAAAAATTACTTTCCCAGAAAAATCCCTTTGAGTCCACTAGAAGTATTGGCATTGATGTATTAAGCTACTTGGTCTTTGAAATTAGTGCATATTTGGTCCTCAACATTTTCAGCCACAAATATTTTTGTCTACCTGTTCACTATTTTTATAAGCGCTCCTAATAGTAATAGGGACTTTGAATTGAGACTGAGAATCTGAATTTATTGGCTATAACACCAGTGTTGAATTCATGTAAGGAAGCCCTCATTGGATGCCTACTTGATACAGTGATGAATCCTATATACCAGCGATATTCAACAGGTGTGCCACAGAATTTTTAAAACATGCAATACCTGACTATTTAGTCAGGGCACTGACCTCTTTTCTTTAAGATTATCAAATAACAAAATGATAACAGCCAACAAAGCAATGACAGTCTTGTATGAATGAATGAAAATTATTCCTATTTTTTATCAGATTGGCAAAAATATTTCTTTTGCTGTGCCACAGAATTTTAGTAGTTTATGTATGAAAAAGGTTGAAAATAACTGCTTTACTCCATTAAATCCATTAGATGTTACTTTTGCTTATCTTTAACAAATAATATCCTTATATGATTGACAACTTTGACTATAGACTTACTTGAACTGTTTATTAGTATTCTGAGAATAAACACTTAGTGATAGTTTTTGATTATTGTTTTGCTGTGTGTGTGTGTATGTGTGTGTGTTTGTGTTGGTGAACAGTGAATGCTCAACTAAATCTTATCAGTGAAAAAATCAGCCCCTAAAATTCAATTGAGTTAAATTAAATATGTACTTGGGAGGACCATGAATACTTCCAAATCACTGGAGTGCTAAAGTCCTGTAACAGGAACTTACAGGATGCCATTTTAATTGAAAAGTTACTATCTTAATTTAACTCCCAGCATAAGCTTGTTCTATAACAAAATCTAACAAAGAAAATCCTTGTTGAAATTTCAACTACATTTTTAAAAGGAATTTTCATTATATAGATTAAGATTGAAAAGTGTTTGAGTCAATTTAGAAAATAAGAATAAAGTTACATGTCCTTAATGAGTGGGGTCTTTGATAAGTAGGTAATACCAATACTTCCTAATAACTAATAAATTTGACCCAGTCACTTAAGCTCCTTGGCCTCAACTTCCACAAGTGTACAATTGCCTGCTCAATTAACCAATTAAGTTATTCTATAATCCTGTGTACATTAATAAAGATGACATAAAATGCTTTTAAAAATGCAAACAGGATGCTGCACTTTTCAGTTTGTTTCTCTACCTACTTTTCATTCTGGCCTGACATGAATCACTGCCTGTCCTGGCTTAACAGTCTGTGAACTGGAGAGAAACACTCTGACCTTCATCCAGTTCCTTTCATCTTTTGTTCTTCCAGAATATGTTGGATACATAAACTTTGCTCTGATTGTGTGTTGTAGACTACTTAAATAAAAACAATTTTCCAAGGGCAGATCATTGTTACCATGCTACATTTGTGGCTACTAAGTTTCTACTCTGCTTAAAATCTTTGAGAGAGGCTCCTGTTTCATAACACAGATACACTCTTTGAGTCACTTTCAAGGTCCTTCAGAAACTACCCACACATTATTTCTCTTCCCCAGTATGAACCTGCCACCCCAGTCAGCCCACATCTGCTCAC